CATTCTGGGACCGCTGCGCCACCTTTTCTGGGTTGAGAAAGGAGAAGGGTCAGTCATTTAATTGGTTAACACTTCCCTCCGCCCATAACATAGATGATATTGCATTGAAACAACTGACAAGCCAGGACTGGGCAAGAGCGGGGGTTTGAAATGGGCATCCTATTTGCCGTGATTGATCTTAAGCAAGGAATCTTTCAACAAACAAGCAACGCCGCACTTGAGGGCTGTGCTATTTGGGTTGTTTCAAGGGAAACCAAGCAGAAAAGCAGCATCGAATTCCAAATCCCTATCTTGAGCCATTTGCCACTCCCGAAACAATGATTCAAGCGCGCCGCTGGGTGTCGGGGTCTCTGCAGGCAAAGGCGCGTGCGTCACCACGATGCAAACTCGCTGCATCTGTTTCCTGGAGGCGCCCTTCGCGATGAGGAGGTCCACCTGTCGGTCCGGCGCAGCTGAAGTCGTTGAGCGAAAGGAGTACCCCAACATCCCGCCTTCCTGAATGGAAAAGAGGATGGCAACTTCCCAATCCCGTTTTTCCATGTTTTTCCTAGATTTCCCTGTAAAAAGAAGGAAATGGAACTCTGAATGGAAGTCCAGGATAATCCCCCTCCCCAATTCTATTTTCAAAGCGGAGGCACCATCAAACGGAAGACCGCTCGCAAGTGGTAACATCACCTCCTCGCTTCCTGTGATTGGCCAAGACAGTCCAAATTCGTTGTTTGCCACTATCTGGTATCTCCTGTGTAAGGAGCACCCTAAGCCCATCTTTTTCGCCCCTGGAATGGCAAACCGCTAAACCCCAGAACCCAACAGAACGCGCGCCTCGCGGTAAGTGACCAGGCCCCAGTTCTCCATGGCCCCCGCGGCGAACTCCGGGATGGCGATCCTAGGGCGTGGCCCCAAGACCCAAGTCGACGTCTGGATTTTCTATGGGCGAAACGGCGGAAGCATCCGCTGCTTGTTGCTTGCCTTGTAAGGGAAGCGTCTCTGAAACATCTGGCACTGGAGGTCTGGGATTCCACTGTTTCGACCCAGGCCTCCAGTGGATTTACATGGAGCAGAACAGGGAACCTTTTGTTGGTAACCGATTTCAAAAGGAAGCCCATCCAAAAAACGAGAAAGCAAGGGACAGCCCCACTGGAGGTCTAAACAGGACATGTAGCTGCCACATCCCAACCGCAGGAGCAACGCGTCTCCCCTGCAGATTAACACATCACTAAATTTGATAAATTTGATGTGCACTATAAATTCAAGACTTGCAACAAAAATGGGATCCCCAAGTCTAGGACTTATGTAGCAAGCGAGGGTCCCTGGTTTCGAAAGGAACTCGAGCCCTTTGGGAAGTTTCATTGTACCAAGGATACAATAGGGTCCGTCAAACATAGACCGGGACTCGCTAAGTACAATCACTCCGAACTGGAATTATGCGATCCTCGAAACAAGGAACCTTGTTTATGGGTAGAGCTCATTCACCCCCAAACAGTAAGCTCGTTGGGGATCTGTCCTTGTCCTTCCCGAATCGATCGGCTTTCGTTGAAGGCACGCGCCCTCGGGCCGAGGCGCATGTCAAGCTTCGGCAACGGATACCTGGGACCCACGTTCGACACGGGTGCGGGAAAGGAAATAAACAAAAGGTGGAAGGTTCATAAACGGGAATCATTACATGTGGAACAGCAGGTGGGGGGCGGGGCGGTGGCTAATGTTTGGTTCTACGCAAGCAACTACAACCCTTTGCAGAGGCCTCATGATTCTCCCCGTTTAACCAGGTAGGAAAGCCTGCGCTCAATCGCAAACAGTTGAAGGCCCAAACCTGAGGAGCGAGAAAATGGAACGGCAGCGTGAACATTTCGCACTGGTAACGAAAACTACAGGAAACTAGACCAAGGTTCTTCCCTTGCGCTTGCCCTCTACCTCCAACAGTGGCTTTTGGACAGTCTATATAGATGTACATGGCATGGTCAAAACTTCCTGTGAGTTGGGGTCATCGTTTGAAGGCGCGAAGCACCCTTGATGAAGGAAATGGTCTAAAACAGGCCTTCACGGCAGGTGCACTCCTGGTCAGGAGAGAACAAGCATCCTCCCGTAGCAATGAGTGTCAACATTACCGATGCAGTTTCCACAACCAGACTTGAAGAGAAATTAGCTACACTTTTGTGGAGAAACCATTCTTCCCAGGAATAATAAGGTGGTCTGAGAAGGGCAACCTGGTACGAGCAGCCTGAAGTTTCGTTTCTTCCGGCTCATTGCTCCAACACATAGCTCGCAGTCACTCCAAATGAGTGGTGTCCTGTTCAAGTCCTCCTCAAACCCCACAACACACGGTTTGCTGGCATTGACACATGGGCGGTGTCGATAAAAGGAAACCCAAAACAGAAACAACCATTTCGGGCATCCCCCTTGCGAGAAAATGCCCACATTATTGTGAAAGGAACAGATGCTATTTACCAAGAAAGAACAACAAGATACTTGCCATCCCCTAGGATACATGCGCCAAATACATACTCCTTGCATGCAATCCCAAACAATATAGGTCGATGACCCCAAATAGAAAGAGATTAATGTGGTTGATGCCCGGGACAGCAATTCCACTCGAACCCAGGGGTTGCGCAAGGAAAACCGTCGTCGAGTTGCGGCAGCCCGAAGTAGTCATCGTAACCTCGTGGTTGCAAGGATGTGCAATCCTTCCACATTTAATTCAGGTCCCCCTCACAATTAAGTGTATTGTTTTTGTTATCCCAGGTATGTTCCTCTTACAGGGGGTTCTGTTTTGGGGAAGGGGGCACGCGGCGCTTTGAGTTTGAACTTCATCTTCATCTAGACATAAAGTATTTTTTTGACTCATTGATGTTGGTTCCAGTAACTTTTATCGACATCAAAAGTTCAACATGTTTAGCAAGTCAGGTACCGATCAAAGGAAACAATGGTGGAACCCCCTGATTCGTCGTCACTGATCAAAGGAAATACTCCTGGAACCCCGTGATTAGTCTGGAAGGTGTTGTCAATCTGACGGCGGCCATGTCTGAAACGTAAAGGTGTTTGAGAGTAGGTGGGGCCACATCTCCCAGTCTGTCTTTCTATCGTGAGTTGGGTTTGCTTCGTTTTGGCAGAATCTTGATACGGCGGGTCCCCCGATAGTCATCCTTGTTGTTTAAATTCTCCTTTGAGGGTTTATTCCCACTTAGTCAAAGTAAGGGTGTCTGCACACATCAGCGGTTCAAAGGCGATCAACAGGGTGGCCCAAAATAACTTGACCACTTTCACAGGCTTCAACTATGCAACCTGAAACAACGCCTCTTAAGGAATGGGAGAACCTCAACAACCCGTGTAGAGGGCCAAAATAGCAGGTGTTAATCTAGGGACTACCTACTGTTGTCCTTACGTTTTGGGATGGATGCGCACTTAGACACTATCCACATAAGCCACTAGCAAAAGAATTTGCTTCGCACATGGGAAGACTGGGTCGCCCCCTCGTTTTGGTGTAACATGTGTGAAGTACCCCCATGTCTTCCCCAAACATCAGTAGACTACCGACAATATGGTCACATCTTCTGACAGCTGTTTGCAAGTTCACCTGAACCGCCTCCGCAAAGAACGAGCAACCCAACTCCCGGGCAGAGTCCGGTCAAATCCACCCCGCAGGCCCGGCAAAAAAAAGAACAACGTGCTTGTTGATGCCCGCTTTCCGTATAATGGAAGTGCAGTGCACGGGAGGGTTTGAAAGACTACCCTCCAGAAAAAGCCCCTTGTCCACCATGATTCTTGCAGAAAGGGCAGGGAAAGCCTCGTCCAAAAGGTCAATCACAACTTGGTTGAAAGCAAAGGTTCAGAGGAAATCTCTACGTGTCCCTCGTGCAACTGCTTCTGTGAAAGAAAAATGTTCCCCGTTGGCGGCGAGCAACCGAAGTGGAGCTTGACGCCAAGTTCCTTCCCACAACGCTGAGACAAAGACCATCTCTGGGGTGGGATCCCCAAGTACGCAGCCATATGAGGGAACCATTGAGGGGTGGTTTGTGTTCCTTTCAAATGTTGATTGGGTTTATGGGCCCCTTCCGCGTGTAAAGGGTACCTTCCGCGAGCATGTTTCGATGTAGTTGGTTCTTGAAGTTGAGGAAGGTAGCTTTCGCGAGGGAATTCGGACGATTGCCAGCACTTCTGGAAAGATCAAATGTGATTCCAGAAAGAGCAACTCAAGCACGTCCCTTCACACAAGGCAGGCCACCTTGAACCAGGGGGCTGGCTAAACCCTGAGTGCTGCCAAGAAGCCGTCCAATGCCTTGACAGCCACATCGAGCGGGAATTTCCCATCCTCCGAGCGGCCTACGGCTTGCGAGCTTCGCGGGGCACAAGGCAGGCGCCAAACCCGGGCGGAGTTAAAGGAGGGGAATGTTCTACATAATTAGATCACAAATGTCCGCTTTCCACTGCTGCCAAACAAAACCCCTCCCCCGAATTACTCGAGCCAAGGCCCATCTTCTCCTGGGGTATAGTGTCTGAAAAAACAGACTCTCCGCGCAACTCCGTTGCACCCCAAGCCGCAGCCACACACGACCGCTTCCCCAGTGCTCCGTTTTTCTGCAGACGGCGGAGGAAGATACAGACAACAGCCATAGTGTGCACGCAGCACTGCTAGGTCTGTAGAGGCAAAGGCTAGCCAGAAAGTGCACGCAGCACCGCTGGGATTTAAGAGCCGAAAGCAGCTGTATGATATATTAAATTTATGGCAAGTGGCTTGCTGCCAGCTCCGGAAGGCTCTCTGTACAGCTGCACACGAGAGAAGCACTCCAGAACTGCAGGCCAACAAAATCCGACAGCCTCGTCGAAAAACAAGCAAGACGCCAGCAAGCTATTCGCTATGATTGCTTGTCGGCCATTCGAAAACCCCACCTGAAAATGGGCAAATTCTCCAACGGACCTATGCATGAAAGCTGCGTTATGGGTGACGTCGTAGAAGTCCCTTGCAACATATCGGTGATCAATCCACTGTGAAGCGTACCAGTAGTTCAGGGTAGGCTTGACAACGGTTGAAGACAACGAACTCGCGATGCACCTGGGCAAATACCGGAGCTTATGTCAACTTGGGGTTGACACAGCGCTGAGTGTCAACAGTTGTCACACGCGCGCTCAACAAGGTGTCCAGGCGAGCCATAATTAGCGAGCAACACTCAACGCAAGCCGAGATGCCTGGGGGCCTGGCTGCAAACAAAAGCATTGCATGAACCGAAATTGCACAACGTGGCAGCCTCTCATGCAAACAACGAACCCAAAGCCGCCGCCTGACCCGTTGAAAATTCCACTGCTTGCCACCACGCTGTCGCAGAAACCTACGCCACGATCGCACGGTCTGTTCAGTGGCATAGGGTGGAGCTAAGCCCTTGGCCCTTGGACTCGTCAGCTTCGTCGCGCAAGGGTTCAGATTTCAGATGCGGCAGGGGGTTCGTGGCCAGGTGCGGATATCCTAACACCACGCGTGATAGGATGATGCATCCTTCGGCTCCCCGCCCTCCACGAGCTTCAGTGTACTGCAAGCCTGAGTTGCCAAGCATATGCCATGGACAAAACTCCGCCACTTGTGGGTCAGGGTCAAGGTATGACAACATCCTTACTGCAAGGTTGATGGCCAGCCTACCAATCCCAAGTAAAGGAGTCTGTTGACGATGGCTCTTTCACAGGTCAGCAGATCAGCATTGTTTTTCCATGTTTTCGGGGCTTATGCACTACTGGGGTGCCCACTGCTGGGGGCTTCGCGAAGCCAGGATTTCCTTCGCGAGGCTTCGCGACAAGACGGTTGCTTCGCGGAGCGGCTTTCAGGACGTGTTTGTAGCTAGCCAATCGAGCAGTGCTCAAACCCGATCGAGACTTGGTTGCCCTCAAAGTGCTCCTTCGCGGAGCTTTCGCGCGTGTGTGGTTTCCTTTCGCGGCGGCTTGTTTTGCACCAATCCTTTCACGGCGCTTCCGCGGCGGCTCCTTGAAATTAACAGGGCAACCTTTCAGTACAAGAATAACACCCAAATGCACTTAGTAGCTCCAGCTTGAAAATCACAGCTTTTGGAAACAAGCGTAGCACACCAAGTGCAGGCTTCTCCAGCTCACAACCGCAACTTTTCAGCACAAGGATAAGAATAGTGTGCAAAAGAGGCCTTGAATCCTGGACCGCTTCACGGAGCTTTCACGCCAATCCCCCCGATTTTTAAACTGGCAAACAGCCTGCGCACGCTCATGAGCAAATGTATACTCTCGCACCGCTGCCTAACAAGCAGCCCTTTGCGAGTTTTCGGCAAATGCCTTTGCAAGCTGTCGCGATGCAGGGTTTCCCTCTCGCGCAAGCCATTTAGGCAACGGTTTAGATATCGTGGGGGTTTGAGCGCCGCTCAACTACTCTTAGCTGGCCTTCGCAAAGTGGATTCGCCTGTGGCAAACCATAGGGCCTTTGCGAGAGTGCTCGGAGACTTCGCAACACACCATGTGTCACACAAGAGCCTTCGTGGACCCTTTGGGAAGTCCCCGCGGAGCTACAATCCTTCATCTCAAACAACGCGCTGCCCAATTGATCACAGTTTGTCGCAATCATATTGTACTTAGACTCTGGATCACTCAAGGAAGGGTGGAAGGGTGAAGCATGCGGTGATGCGTCAAGTCAGGTCATTGTGCCAGAGACAGGCTGGAAAAGATTTGAGCCGTACCTGGTAATAAGCCGAGCAGCTTTTGCAACTTTCATCTGTGAAGTAGGTGCCTTGACCATACAAACCACCTTGCCGGGCAAGACGTTCATCGAAGCCATACTTTACGATCTTGTCCACGTTGCATGTCTTCGTGCCGTGGAGTGCGAAGACCTCGTTGATGTTGGTGTCCAGCTCCGCCCATCTGCATGCTCTGGATAGTGCCTTGCGGATGACAACTTGTTGCCATCCGGAACGTGATCTTTTCGTGCTAGTCTTGGGGAGACGAGCTTGATTGAACAGTTCCAGCCCGTTCCAGTGCCTGGTTGGTTGTGATCTTGTGCGAAGCTGGCAGCGTCGACAGCTTCTTTCGGATACAGTCCTGCAAAAACGGGTTGATGCCAAGCGTTTGCCATGCTCTACTGAACAATACAATACAAATACCACAATGATGCTCAAAACAGAACCCGGAACAATCAAAACGGTGGCAATTTGACAGTTGAACCCGTCCCTTGAAATGCATCGCGTTCCAGTGCTTATGCTTGGAGCAATCGCTTGTAAAGACTGCCACCCCATGAACTGCACACGCATCACCAAATTTCATGAACTAAGGTACGTCAATCGTACCCGTGGGGACTGCCTTAGGTATGCCAGTGCCCAATAATCACTACCAGGACTTCCTAGTGCGTCCCTCTAAATTTAAAGGATGTCAATGTGGCTTCGGTGTGTGTGTGTGTGGCATCAGCAGATGTATTGGGAGGGGAGAGCCTGGAATTTCTATAGGTCGTGCTGTCGAAACGGAGAAAATGCTTCAGTCGTGCAAACCTGTAGGTTGTAACACCAC